AATAGCACATTTTATCTCTGAAGCCAACGACTTCTCAAAAATTGTAGACCAGTGTAATCCCCATTTTAAGGAAGGTAAATTCTTAAGCAATATCCAAAGCATTTTCTGAAATATTTTTTTTTAAAAAAATGCAGTTCTTGATTTGCTATTTGATCTATGGTATAATTTTTATAAACTGACAATTTGGTAATTATTTTTTTCAAGTTTCAAATGTTCCTGTTTATTACAATGCCATTTATTTATTGATTCAGACTAATTGAGCCTGTCTAGTTTGTTTGTTTGTTATATAGCTTACTTTTCTATTGTTAATGTTCACAAATTAAATTGACAGTACTTAAAGGAGTATATAGGTTGTGGATGTCCTTTTCTGCAAGTCTGAGCAGTATATACTAGTAGTCTATAGTAAGACTAACTTTTGTACGCTGTCTTGTGGTTTTAGTGAAGGACATCTCATCTATAAATAACAAATATGAAACTACATCTCTCACTGTGTTTTCTGTTTATTTTGGAAGACTTATCTACCGCCTGACCTGCCAAGGGATTACAGACCAGTCCATTACTTTCGACCAGTGATAACAGCTAGAAATGAAAACCCCCTTTTACTTCAGGCATTAGTTGAATCAACTGGGAAACGTGAGACTGATACTCCACAGCAAAACAGACACACACTGAATGCATCTCAGAGGAGGGAATTGCTAGGAGAGACTGCTCTGAAAGGTATGTGACATAGTGTGTGACCATACTTCTCCTTGTTTCATTATAATTTAGATTCACTTAACACTGACTAAACTACTAGGTTATCCCCATAATATTTTTAGCACAGGAAATACTTGTTTACAAACTTGAATGTTTACAATCTTGAATATATATATTTTCTAATTTAATAAAACTAAAACTAAAAATAAAACATCCCTTATGTTAGCCAAAATATTGGACAATATGATCCCTAAATGTCAATTACTGGGAATACCTACAGGTGTTTTCAGTTACTCACACTAATTAAAGGAGAACAGTGTGTGTGTAAAGGCATTTCATTTTTTGCTTCCATGAAGCCTAAATTTATTTTTTTAAATTTCTGCTTGTGGGTTTTTGGTTTTTGGTTTTTTTTTTTAACCCTAGAAATTCAGATCTTGTGTAGCCTGGAAGATTTTATAGCGCTCTAGTCACTAGTGGTGTTATGACATTATATGAGTCTCGAGAAAATAGCAAATAAGAGGGAAAGGGGATGTTAGACTTTTTAAAACTTTTTTTTTTTTTGGTTAACACTTGTTTAATATCAACCAGTAAGGATACTGGAGAAAGAACATATTAATTGCCTTTCCCTTCAGTTAAGTTGTGAGGCCACAATACTCATGCTGCGAGACAGGGTAGATTTTAATCCGCAAGCAGGTAACCTTTAGTAAAATAATCTATTTTAATCTTGCTTTGCATTTGTACCTTGGCGTTATTATGCTAAAGAAAGGTTGGTTCTCATTGGTTGGTAACCATTAAAATATGTTGATTTGCAACTAAATGTAGCCTTTGTACTAATTTTGGTCCTTCTTTTTGCTAACCAAGATATTCTATATTTATATACATGTATTTAAACAAGTATATCATTTAATTTACATTTATTCAGATTTTTAATTTTTACATTTACATTGTTTAGAATATGGTGAATGATGCATTTCTTTACTAGATTATTCATTTTTTTACTTGATTTGTATCAAGCTCTGTTTGAATAGAAATTTAATTAAAAATGCACAAAGCAAGCATTTTTAATTTTATTAGACAAATAAAACTATCAAATGTGTGCGATACATAAAAAAACAAGTCTTAATTTATCAAAATGTGTTCTTCATTTAAAACTGACTTATTAAACAAAGGAAGTATTATATGTGGTTACTGAACTCTTTGTTTCTCATCGCCATGTCCTTCAAGATTTTAGAACTAATAGGCCTCATTCTCTCACCTAGTTTTATTAATAGATTAGAAGAAAAACCTATTTTTCTTCCTTTTTTTTTTTTTTTTAACTCCCATTGGGTTTTTTACTTTGAGTGAACTAGTCATTGAATTGAATTAGTTGAATAAACTGAGATGAAGAAAACAACATTTCTTTGCATGCACAAGAGGCTACTCTTGCCAGAAGCTGATTTAGCACTTGAACAATCTCAGGTTCCAGATACTTAGCCGGTGTTCTTCCCACCAGTGCAGTGGTTTGACTTTCTTTAAAACTTGCCAGCAAACATGTACTGCTTAATATTTGTTGTTTAATTTAAATTATTTTATTTAAATTATTTTAATAGACAATAATAAGTTTAGGCCTTAGCATAGGTTGTCATCATTTCAAATTTAACTTGAAATAGGTTTATTTATAAAAAAATAAACCTGCATTTTATTTAAATAAAAAAATCTGATTTTGATAAAAGCCATCTGATTGTTTTGATTTTTTTCTTTAAATAATAGATTTTTATCCACCCTGCTCTGAGACCCCCCCCAGAAGAAGGGGCCCCCGCAAAACCTGGAAAGGTCAGACTTCACATTTCTCAGTAAAAACTAAGGAGGACGCTTCCTTTTTGTCTTTAGCCTTTCAAGCCTTTTCCACACGTCATAAATAAGCAAAATTTGGCACAAACATAACTTAAAAAAATATCCATTGCAGGTCACTCTTAAATAGTTGTGACAGAAATTAAGATTGTATAATGGCTACAATAATGCTATTTTGTCAGCTTTTAAAGCATTCCACCTGGTAAAGCTCCATGGCATGGCCTTTAACTTTCCGCCTCGTGAGAACTGGAGATACTCTCCAAACTAACAGTGCTACTCTTTAATCAACAGGAATAGTTGTTGTTGGGTAATATGAATAATTCCCTCATCCTTGCCCCCGAGGGCTGAGCATGACGCTTCTGTAGCATCCCCAGCCCTTCTTCGCTTGGGAAGCAAGTGACTGGGACCGGGAGATGCACTGTACATGGCAGAGTTTGGCACTGAGACCACTGGGCTAACCAAGCGCAAAATATATTTATAACTGAAAACAGCATAATAGATTAATATAATAGCTAAATTATATGCAATATAATTAATAAATATATATGCACATGTTTATGTAATGAAAAAAGAAAATATATGGAATTGTCCAAAACTTTCAAACTACTAATGTAACTACAGTAAAAGCTATGTTATCCAGCACTTTACCAACTGGAAAGCTCTATAAACTGGCATTTCTGATCTTCATTGAAAGTCTGGTTTATAGTCCGATTGGTGCAGGGCTGGCAGGCTCCCTAGCTGGCTTCACATGGCTCCCTGGAAGTGGCAACATGTCCCTGTTGCTCCTAGGCGGAGGAATGGCCATGAGGGGTGTGGGGTCTGGGAGGGGGTTTGGGGCAGAGGGTCAGGGTGCGGGAGGGGTTTCGGGGTGCTGGATCCGGGCAGCGCTCACTTTGGGCAGCTCCCTGCAAGTGGCAATATGTCCCTGCTGCTCCTAGGCAGCGATGCAGCTAGGCAGCTCTGCGCACTGACTCCACCCCGCCCTAGGTGCTGGCCCCAGAGCTCCCATTGGCCAATGGGAGTTGCAGGGGTGGCACCTGCAGGTGGAAGCAGCGCGCAGAGCCACCTAGCTGCGCCTCTGCTTAGGAGCATCAGGGACATGTCGCTGCTTGTGGGGAGCTGCTCGAGGTGAGCGCCACCCAGATCCAGCACCTCCTCCTGCACCCAAACTCTCTCCCAGAATTCGCGCCCTGCACCCACTCCCCTGCCCTGAGCCCTCTTCCCCCATCCAAAGTCCCTCCCTCTTAGTTAACCGGAGTTTTTGACTTACCAGTACCTCCCATTTCCCCAACATGCCGGATAACAAAGCTTTTACTATATTAGATTCTGAAGGTTTAAAAAAAAAAAAATGGAGCATATATATATGCTATACAAAATTTTACATTCCAGATTTCTGTGAAGTCTAGATCTTTACACTATCAAATGTAGATATCCCTGGTTTATACTATGCCAGTTGATTTGTTTTTCATCATATGTATCTATATATATCTATCAGTACAGAGATCTGGTGGGGCACAATACATATGAATGAGTGTGAAGCACTATTCTGCTCCTTTCATAAAAGATGCATCCACTCAAACAGCAGTAGGTGCACCAAAGATGTAACTTGTAAAAGCGATGTGTGTCTGTCTATAACTTTTTATATTAGTGTAAAAATTGCAGTGAGAGCCACTTCTGGTAAAAGAAATCTCCTCTCTTTAAATGACCATTTAAAAATATTCCCTCAGGGTTTCCAGCAAAATTGTGACATTTAAAATTAACCACTACTAGAGTATTGATTTTTTTTATGATTTCTTGGGTATCTGAATGTGTATACATCCTATATTTAGACACATTTTTGTTTAGATAGGGAAATAATATACATGTAATATGTTTTATTCATGACAGTAGAGATAGTTACAAAGATGTTTACTTTTCCAAATATCTCCTTATTGCTTTTTTCTATCCTCAGGTCCATCTCCTTCTGTTTTGGAGTATCTGTCAGGGAAAGACAAAGAGAGAATCAAAGAAGCAAAACAGGCAGCTGAACAACAAATGAAAACACAAACTTTGCCTCAGCAATCCCTGAATATCTCATCTGCCTCAGATGGTGTTAATCACAAGTGGCAAATGGCATTGGGGGGGCAGTTAGCCACCCCTGGTTCTAGTGACTTCAAACCATTTGCAAAAAATCCAGAAAAACAAAAAAGATATGAGGATTATGTAGAGAGTCTTAAACAAGGACAAAAAGGTAACTAGCAAATGGTCATGAAACTCTTCTGCATTTTTTTTATTTGGAAAAAGTTATTTCTGCAATTTTAAGTATTTCATTTTAAGCTTCTTATAGGCTTGATTCTAGAATTCCATATGTAGCATTTTTCCTTCTGTTTTCTGAGGCCCTAATCTTGCAAAATTTAGGCACATAAGTAATCCCATTGACTTCAATGGGGGTACGCATTAATTTAAGTGTTTGCAAGATTGGGAGCTTTGATCATACTCATCTTAGTTTCTCTGATCCTTCATAATGTAGCTCACAACCTCACAGATTAGGGGTTTTCAACTTTTTTCTTTCTGAGGCTCACACCAACATGCTTCAAGAACTCCACGGCCCACCTGTGCCACAACAAATGGTTTTCGGCATATAAATGCCAGGGCCGGTGCTAAGGGGTGGGAAGCAGGGCAACTGCCCACCAAGCTACATTGCTGTGGCTTCAGCTTCTGCCCCAGGTGGCGAGGCTCAGAGCCCTGGGCTTCAGCCCCATCCGGTGTGAGACTTCAGCTCTCTGCCCTGGGTCGCAGCGAGTCGAACACTGGCCCTGCTTGGCAGACCCCGTGAAACCTGCCCGTGGCCCCCGGGGGGGGGGGCGGGGGGCCCTGGACTTCTGGTTGAGAACTGCTGTCATGGACCATACTGTGATCTTGCAGTTTTTGTTTTGTTTTGTTTCCTTCTTGTTTACCTTCCAGCTCCATACCTTCAACCTGCTTTTAATACTCATCTCTCTTTTGTAATTAAGACCGTATGTACTCTGGGTACAGTGGGACCATAGTAATGTTAACTTAGTCTGTCGCCAGGAAGTATCCTTCATTCCCTACCCCCATACAACAGTTTCATGTTTCAGAATACCCATTGACGTAAAATATGATTTTCAATAGTTGTTATTTTTAGGGATGAGTATTTTTGCTGTGCTCTCCAGGCCACCTTGCTCCACTCTTCAGGTCCAGCTTAAAACCTTCCCCCCTGCTCCCCAAATATGCCAGGGAAATGGGGAGCTCGTAGTTGGCTTTAGCAGTTAATATCCAGGGCTCCCTGTTATTCAGTGGCTGTGCTGTTCTCCAGGAAAATCAGCTACCCAGCCTGTGCTTCTGGGTTCCCCCCACTTTCCATCTGCAAACTGGGCTTCAGCTCTGCTGGGCTTCATGGATCAGTGTAGGGAGCAGGTACTGTAATCCAGTTGACTTGCATTTGTGGGGAAAACTGGATAATGAGAGACAGATCTCAGCAAGAGAGGGAAACAGAAAACAAATGTCAGATGCCCAGTCGCAGCAGAAGGGCAAATTCTGTGGCAAAAATGCTGATTTTTGAGGTATTTTTGAAAAAAGCCATATCTACGGAGTCCATGGGGTCTCTTACTAAGATGAAGGAAAACTCGGAATCAGAAGTTGGTCCAATAAAAGATGTTACTTAACCCACCTTGTGTCTCTGAGATGGAGGCATGTTACTACACCTCTACCTCGATATAACACTGTCCTTGGGAGCCAAAAAATCTTACCGCGTTATAGGTGAAGCTGCGTTATATTGAACTTGCTTTGATCCACTGGAGTGCGCAGCCCCCCCCTCTTCCCCCCCCCCCCCCCCCGGACCGCACTGCTTTACCGCATTATATCTGAATTTGTGTTATATCGGGTCGCGTTATATCAGGATAGAGGTGTACTTTGTTTTTTTATGTTATTTCAGGTGCATTTGGCTGTTCTTTGATGTTGAGCTCTGGGCCAGTAGTTTATCTGCTCAGGACATAGATTGTTGCTTTGTATAAAATGGAACGACTTAAATGTATTTATTAGTAGAACAGGATGAAAATGCAGGAAATCTTGAAATAATGTGGAAGGTCAAAAACCTCATATCAGAAGCTCGGCTTGATGTTGATTTTGTTCCTCTCTCCTCTAGAAGCAAATATGAACCAAAATCTGTTCCTTGTAAACAGGAAAGGATGATTTTTTTTTTTAAGCTACTTGGCACATCTGAATTTGTACTTATGAGCACGCACATTTTATGCATCCAAAAAGCCAATTTGAATACTCAAGTGCATATCTAAACTTTAAACTTTACTAGCAGGTTCACATATTGAGCTTTTTACCTTTACATTTCAAGCATTTTGTTGGAGTTGTGTGTGGAGTTGTTTTGTTTTCTATGGAGCAATTCATATTTTGTATATTCCAGTGTCCATTACAGAGCAGTGAGTTAGGTGTCAATAGTACAGTAATGGGTTAGGTAAATGAAGTAGCCATCATTCATTTGTCAAAGATTGTCATTCTGACACTATCTTGGGCAGTCATCCTTGGCTACAGAAGAATAGTATATCCAGCAAGACACCCGGGATTACCCCTAGTCTTTATTTCTGAAGTTTTTGGCACATTTATATTCAACTACATATTCATCACACCCTTGTGGAGATGAGCTTGGCTTCTTGAATTGGTTTAACTCATTTTGTGATTCTTTCAAACAGCATACAAGTGTATTTTATACTTAAAAGTAACTTTTAAGGGCTTCTAAGCATTTCTGTCCTTTAACTTAAATAGATACACCAGAAAGTCATTCGGATCCGGGTATGACAGAATGGGAGCGAGGAAGGGAACGAGAGGAGTTCTTCCATGCAGCAGTGCTCTACAAATCCTCTAACTCAGTCCTGTCATCAAGGTTTACTAGGGCCAAGCATGAAGATGACACCGACAAAGTGGAAGTTCCTCGAGACCAAGAGGTTCATGCTGTTAATAATCCTGTATTGTGATAACCTGTGTTAACACTCAGTAGCACAGTCCAATTTATTTAAAACATCATGGTAGAAGATAAATGTAATAATGTTCTGTTGCCTTAAGAAACCAAAAGTAAATATACAATACTGCTCGCACAGCAGTAGTTAAGTATTTATCCTTTAAGTTCACTGAATGTTGACACCATTACCATAATAACAGGCATTTTAAGAAGGTGATTATATTCTGTAGAGTATATAATCAACATTTGAATTTTACAGATGGATATTAATGACAAAGAATCTGCAGTGAAGATGAAGATGTTTGGCAAGCTCACAAGAGATAAGTTTGAGTGGCACCCTGAGAAGCTATTGTGTAAAAGATTTAATGTTCCTGATCCCTATTCTGAGTAAGATGATTAATCAAATATCTTAATGCTTTCAAAATAATTTTTTTAATTGTTCTGAAATGTGTGTTTGTGTAATGTTTGGGGAACATGCCAGCTTGACATCTCTGAAGGCTGAAACCCTCTCTTTATCTTCAGAATAGATGCAACCCAGGTAGAACAACAGTCAGGCTTCCTTCTGATAACTTGCCAATTTGCTTTTTACCTAAACTAGAAGGATCACCTCATTAGAGATACTTTGAATGGAAATAGGTGATTTTCCCCCCCCCCCCAGAACATAGTAGATGCTCCTTTGTTAGGGTTTGTATTCATGGACTCTGCTTGTTTTGTGGATAATCTGAGACTTCATTTTCCAATGTTGTCCATCCATCCCATCATTAAAAACAATGATTGACAAATAATTTCATTTTCCTCTAGTTCATCGATTGTTGGGTTACCCAAAGTGAAACGTGACAAGTATTCTGTATTCAATTTCTTAACTCTACCGGAGTCTACCACAACAACTATAACTCAAACAACAAATGAAAAAGTACAACAGAATATCAGTCCTAACAGTAAGTGGGTCAGCATTTTATTAGTGTAATCCCATTGATGTACTCGTCATGGAATGTAAAAAATACCAAGATGCAATTTCCTTTAAAATAAAAGGAAACTGTTTGAAAACTCAGAGCTACATATATAAGGCCAGAGCAATTGAAATCAGTGGAGTTATACTGATTTATAGCACTGAGAATCTGGCCAATAGAGATCTTCTAGTTTTAAGATTTTTTTATTTTTTAAATATAGGCAGTAATGATAAAGCAAGTATTAGTAAATAATTGACCTGACTATGACATGCTGTAGTATTTAATATAAAGCTAATTAACCATGATGCTTGGGATCTTGTACCATTTTTTTTTAAGAGCCAAAGAAACCATCAAGATGGGATGTATCTGACAAAGAGAAGAAGAAAAACGATTCTGTTAGTGAGTTCATAAGTCTTGCTAGATCAAAAATTGATATTCAGCAGAAACAACCAGAATCAGTAATAGAAGAAGACAGAAGTAGAACAACCAATAAGGTATAAGATTTCCAAAGGTTTGACATTTTCAGTAACATTCATGCTATTGCACATTGCCCTTCTCTTTCTTGATCTTGTTTTGAAATGCCTTTCCTTGTGCATGGAGAGAGTCAGTAGTAGCAACTCATACTAAGTTAGAAAAGACATGTCTGCACAAATTATGCCCTCCACCTGTGGGAAAGAGAGCTGCTTCTCCACAATATGTCTCCTATGGAAGCTCCTCTACTGAGGCTCTGCAAGCACTGGGTTCCTCAAATGGAGAGGCCGCAGACCCAGGACAGAGCTAGCTGCTCTGCAGCATCATACAATCACAAATGTACACTAGAGGGAACTTCCTGACTTTGGCTCTAACTTACTTAGGTTCCCATACTGTGAGCTTAAGCTTCCATCCCCATGAAAGATGGGCAGTGGCAGGGAGGGTCCTGGTCACCACAGTTCCTGCAGCAGCATGTTGTCAAGAAGATGAGGAAACCAGGAGGCAGTGTGAAGGCACCAGTTGACTATAAGTGGCACTGCATGGATCTTGGAGTTCTATGGGTTCTTTGGCCTGAATCTCCCTGTTGTGTGCGGTGGGAGGAAAAACACCAATTTTCCCCCCGCTCAAACAGAAAATGGGGAAAAAAAACTCTGCAACAGTAAACTATTAAATTTGTAGTCTTCTGTATGGGGAAACATATTATACATTGATGGGGAATCTGGGATATTGCCATAACAGTATTTAGCATTGAAATGCTTTGTATTTTTATTCACATCATTTTGCCCTATAATTTCCTACATAAAGCACATCATTTTAATATCGGTGGTTCTCAGTCTGTGGTCATGTGTTGCTGGTGGTACATGAAGAGCTGGCTGATCTCAGGGTGTTGGCAGTCTTTGTTGTTTCAATAAGACAGCTAAAAACAGATCTCTCATAAGCAAGTTGGTGTAGTTGCCACAGGAATATATGATAATGAGTGTGAGGAAAGGTTGTGTACATTTCTAGAAGTTGGAGGGGAAGTGGTCCAAACAATGGGGGGGAAAAAAACCCAATCCTTGCTTTCTATGGAGAAATGTATAGTTCAGATGAAGGAAAACACTTGTTCTTCTAATTCTTGCTGTTTTACTGAAGAAGCAAAACAGTAATCTGCTGTACATGAAACTCTGCATGCATGTAGATCTTGATATGAAGTAGTAAATGTATTTTGATTGAGTACTATCTGCTATAGAGAGCAGTGTGATTCTATTACATGTGGGGACGAATTGTGGAGACCTTCTGTAGCTCCAACCATGAGAAATTACAGGGGTTAACAAAAAGAGCACAAATTGGGTAGTTATCATAAATAACAATTACCCCTTTTGCTTGTGCAGTTTTAGCAGATATGTTGGTGGAGGCCATTTGAAAATTTGGCCCTAACAGTGAAATTTGTTAAGGGCTATCAGTTTTTTTAGGTTAGCAGGATAGTTCTTTTGTTAATGCAAACATTGGTTGACTCTCACATTTGACATTGATTTTATTGTGAATGGACTTGGGGGCTTGAACAAGGCACATTTAATAAAGAGGTGGAGGGAATTTACTCTTTGGAAAGGGTCTGCAAGCCTCTCTGTGGTCCATGTAAGGACTGTGGGGGGAGCTAGGTTGCAGACGGAATCACCCTACAGTCTTTGTAATCTCTAAAGTGTTCTGCACTGTTTAGAATGGTGCACAAAGGGAAACATGAGATCTGTGCTTACAGGAATTTTATGGTTATAGCTCATACATACAGGACACAAGGATTGCAAGTATAGTCTGGGATTATGGCTGTAGAGGCTGTGATGCCTTCCAGCAGATGGGAGATTTAATTCCATCTACTACACCCACTGATTTTCCTGCCCAAAGTCCACTTTTCTCTGCTTTGTACAGGGACAGATACATATTATTCCGAGGAAGATAATAGATTTGCTTGTTGTGAACTTAAGTTAAAGAAAAAGTATCTAGAGTCTATTGACTTAAAAATAAAAAGTGTTAATATTTTATATTCTTTCAAGTGAGCTGTTCTGACCTGCATGAAAAAGGCACAGGATGCAGTGTCCTGTATTGGAAAGTGACTTAATTTATCAGTATCTGAGCTCTACTACTGTGCATCAACAGTTGTCAAGTTTATAGACTTCAGATTTACTGTAAAATTTGCTAATTTTAAAATGAAAATACCATTAAAAGTGTCACAATATTTTATCTTAATGGAGAGACACTTCTTTCCTCTGTCAGTGTTTAATTTTTTTCCCTTATGGGCACTGTTATGCAGGCAGTTAATGAAAGCACAGATCAGAAAAAAGAAGAAGAAAGCAGACCATCTATGGACTTATTTAAAGCTATCTTTGCCAGTTCCTCAGATGAAAAATCATCCTCATCTGAGGAAGATAGCGATGAAGAGACGCATCAGACACCTTCTGCTATGCCAAACTCAGAAAGTACAAAGCCTGCTAATCTACCAGATACCTCCTTAGCTGATGTACAAGGTAATAGTAAACAGTTTGTTCAGTTTCATGAAGTTCTAGCAATTTTATAATAAATTAAAATATTATGAGCCTAGTAGAAAAATGCTTTACACCAGTTTTACACTGGTGTAACTACACTGTTCTCAATGGAGTAACATCAGTGTAAAACTGGAGTAATGGAATGCTGAATTAAGTGCTCTCTATTTAAATATTATCTACATAGCCATAGGCCAATGACAGTTTTTACAGATACACTGTCAGATGAATTTGTTTGCTAAACAGAGTGAGGGATGAGGACAAATCCTATATTACTCTGTAAAGAAAGCCCCCAAATTGGGTGATTTTATACACCTGTAATAAGGTGTATGATATATGATAAAGTATATATATTGAATGAAATTTTGACCAGACTGGAAATAGGTAGAATTTGCATTTATTTGAAAAAGGAATTTCCTTTCTATATTTTGATATTCTCATTTAATATAATATTGAAATGGATTTTTAAATAGTACAGTAATATAGCTGTATCTCATCAGTTTTCATTATCGGTCTACAAAGCAAATAAATTCACGGGACTGGAGGGAAAAAGTAGTCTTCTGTTATTTAGCAAGATTTAATAGCAGAGTATTATAGGGAGTTCTCATACTAGAAATTAAAGTAACGATGTTCTAGAATACATTTAATAGTTTACTAGGAAATATTAGTAAGTAAAATAACATTTATTTTGACATTTAGGGATGATGTATCTTTAATTTTTAAATTGGCTTTTGTTTGCATACTTACCAACTAGAAAAGAAGGCAATATGCAGTAGATCTCCCAGTAATTAGTGCCAGTTAATCTAATTAGTGCAAATGGCAGATGGAGTAATAAATTCCTAAATAAAAATAAGCTAATACCCCCCATTCAAATGTAAAGTAGCCTTATTTCATAGTAAAAATACCAATTTATATATACTTTTTAATATGGAAACTTTTCAAACTGCTAGGTCTAAAATCACCTTTTAGGCTATTATATCTTCAACACTGGAATTTTACATAATTCTTGAAAAATTTGCAGGGGTGAATCTGTTTTTTGCCCTTAAGTTATAGATTCTTTTGTTAATATTTATACTTGTGTTGCCTGCCATTTTAATTTAAAAATCAGTAGCACTGTGATCAAATATTTGGTGATCCCAGCCAGTGCAACCAATCTTTGAAATGCACAGGAAGGTGCAAAAGGAAAAGGCATCAACTTCTCTTTGTTGATACAGATTTTTAAAAAAGTTAAGAAGGTTGTGTACAAAAAAGAAAGCTTAAGAAATCATATATTTATGTAACTGAAGTCCTTTTTAAAGAATTTGTGTAGTTATTGGGGCCTTCAATAAGAAATAAGGGTGAGAATCACCTTCTGCTTCTTTGAAAAACTAGTAAGTGCAAAATCTAAACAAGGGTGCAAAATTCATTAACTTGTCTATTTATTTGATATTTAATTTTTAATGGAATATTTTCTCAGCTGTCTTGGGTATGGGAAGTACTTTTTCCTTTTAAGTTAACCTATATGTTTGTTTTTCTAGAATGCATGGCTGTTACAAAAGAGCCTGACCTTGTGCCACCTCTTTTGAAGGAGGAGCTGGATAAGGAAGAAGAATTTGGACCGAGGTTGCCTCCAGTTTTCTTTTCTAGTAAGTACTGAAGACTTTAAATTTTGTACACTGAAAATGTATATTTTATGCAGTTATTTTATTTATGCTCCCCATAAACATCTTCAAAGTTACTTCATTATCTACCTTCAAATCCCCTTCTCAAAACTCTCCTTTGTCATGATGTCAGGTGTGCTGAGACCACTGCCTATCATGCTAACCAATATTGTCTTATTACTTCCTGGTAGTCCCCGGTCTCTCTGCCTTCATCTGTTATCTCTTGTCTTTTATAGTTAGAGCCCTGCAAATCTGTGGATATCTGCTTTATATCCGTGGATATCGGATGCCGATATCTGCAGACCATTTTTGCAGATCGCGGATCAGATGCAGACATAGGTGCTGTCGCATCCCCTGGCTTGAAGTGGTTTCCATTATATACAGGGTTTACAGTTTGGATCAATGTCTCTCAGTACCCGCCACTATAAAAATTGTTCCAGCACTCCTGGATGTGGCTACAAATTTTGTATCCACGCAGGGCTCTAAATATAGGATCTCAAAGGTGGGGAAGCAGCTGTCTGCAGCTCATAGCCTACGAAGCTGCTTCTCCACCTTCCAGAGCCTATACCCCCCCCCCCTTCCTCCCCCCACCCGCACTCCGCATTTACTCGACCTGACATAGCAATATGAAGTTGAGATGTTTCCTAAATAGCTTGGATGC